ACCCTCGACTTCCAGCGCCGGTAGCCCCAAACCTCTACCTCTAGGGTCAACAGGCCAAACCCTCCACCTCCAGCAGCGGCAGCCCTACCCGTCCACCTCTAGCGCCGGCAGCCCCACCCCTCCACCTCCCTTTTCGGCAGTCCTGTTAAGCCCAAACAGGTACTCAAGTTAATTTCCCTTTCCTTGGTCTTTGCCGAGATTATTTCAATTTTCTTGGTGTTTTTAAAATGTGTGTTAATGTAGTTGTGGATTTGATAATAGTATGTTTGTGTAATTTCAAATTTCCATAATGTAGTTTCATTGATTAACTTCTATTATTTGAACTTCATATAAGATTACTGTCTATTAAATATGGTTGATTGTAAAATTTTCTTTCTGAATTATATGGCACAGATGGTTAAGTTCTGTTATTTAAACTTCATATAACATTATTGTCTGTGAAAGAGGCCCACTTGTGATTTTTGCTTGCTTGCTTTGAATGATATGCCATAGACGATTAACTTCTGTTTATTGAACTTCATATATGATTAATGTCTGTGTAGATATTTAACTTATGTTAATTGAACTTCATTTGAGACAATGTCTTTGTTAATCCCTGTAAGTGCTCATTTTGGAGCTCAGTACTCAGCTTGTTCTGACATCTGTGAAGCCATCAACAACATTGAGAAGAACTTGAGTCCTGACCAATTGGAACAATTTCGCAAGACTCCAATTGGCCACTTCATGGGGCTTAAGAACCTCCAATTTTCTGGCCAGATCATTCACCAAATGCTTTTGTTGCTTGTTGAGGATCAACCTCACGATGAATTCTGGATCCTCCGAAATGGTGAAATTGTCAAATTCACTTTCAACGACTGGTGCAGAATTACAGGGTTGCCGAACACAAATAGGTACCCAGCTCTTAAGGATAAAGAGCTTGGACAGAGCTCACTGTGTCACACATTCTTAGGCGGGGGGGTCACAAAGTGCACCTTCAAGCATGTCCGAGAGAAGTATGTTGCAGCGGAGAATAACATGGATTCAAAGAAAATGGTTGACTTTTCCATGCTCTACTTCATTGAGTCTGTCCTTTTAGCAAAGGATAGATCTACATGCATCCAATCAACCCATTTGCATCTTGTCGAAGAGCCCAAAAAATTCAAATCTTATCCATGGGCTTGGGAGTCGTACTTACTTACTATACGACATATGAAAGGTGCAATGGATGGTCAGCCCGAAAAATTTGAAAAAAAGAGCAAGGAAACCCCAAACTACAAATCCTTAAAATACACCTTCTATGGTTTTCCATTGCCTATTCAGGTTAGTATATGAACACCACATGTATTCTAACACTTACTTAGAATATTCATTATTTTTATATTTACTTTTGTTTAAGGTGTGGGCTTATGAGTGTTTTCCTGAGTTGGTTGAAAAAAACCTTGTTGTAAAAGAGGGGACTTCTTCTTGTGAAATTTTGAATTGGGCATCAAAGAAGTTTCCAAAAGCAGTGACACTTAAGGACATTTTCTTTCGTGATTTGCAACAAAACAAGGAAATATATTCACTGACTTTTAACCTCTGTGAATTTATATAATACCTACAGTCACTGTCTGGGAATATATGATGGTTTATGCTCTTGTTTGTACACAGGATTCTGATGCAGATACCGTTTGAGCCATTAGAGATTTGAGGAAAAGGATGGATGGACTTGAAGTGAAGATTGATGAAATCAAGAAGTTGTTGGTGGAGGTTGTTATGAAGCTGAATTCAAGTGGCCGAAGGAGAAGATCTGTTAGAATTTAGAGACAGAAGAGAGCAAGGACAAAGGCTGCTGAGGAAGATGATGAGGATTCAGAAGAAGATGATGAAATCGAGGAGGGTGCTGAGGAATATGAGGAAGAGATTGGTGCTGATGAAGATGAAGATGAGCCTCGGGAAAATAAGGAGGAGAGTACGGAAAGTGAGGACGACACTGAGGAGACAGGGGAAAATGAAGAGGAGAATGCGCTTGGGGAAAATGAGGATACTGAGCAAAATGAGGATGAGCACACTGCTGTTGAGAAGTCTCACAACGACAAGGATCGTTCCGAATTGGAGGGGACTGCTTAACATGTAATTTACACTTTGTGCATTACATTGATAACTTATAGAAATGATGTACATCTTTTTTTTGACATGTGTGTGTGTGTGTGTATGGTGCAGGAACCCCAAGACAACATGACTACTACCCTTAATTCTCAAGAAGCTCTTCCAATTCCAAGTGATACACATATGTTTGAAGTGGATTCACATATGGTTGAAGTGGATGACAAGGAGGGTGACGATTTAGATGAAGACAAGCTTCTGATGGAATTGACTCTCAACAAGGTAAAATTCCTTAAGTAGGTTCTATATACTTAAATTTTTTTTCTTTCGCATGAGACAATTTAATGTATTAATTACGTAGGAAAAGCTGTTGGATAAGGGGAAACATGTCATCAACGAACCTTTACAGAAGAGAAAGAGACAAAAATCAAAGTACTACTGCAGCCCATTTACAGACCCCCGACCGCGTAAGATTGCGCGACCAACGGTAAATCCGTTCACAATTGAAATAACAGCTGAAGATTGGAACAGTCTTGAAAGTTGGATAAATGAAGCAGACAATGTCTCTCCCACGACAATTGAACTACAGTCCAAAGGTGTTGGCCACGTCACTCGAGACTTCTTCCGTGATCTTATAGATCAGGAAAAATGGCTAAGCAATGATGTAAGTAAGCTTTATTGGTTAAATTAATTTTTGTATCATGACATTTAATAACTTGTTTCTGTTATATGTTAAGCACCTGGAGGCTATTATGGACAATATGATGGAAGTTCTCAATGGGATAGAGCGCAAGAACTACATTGTTGTTGGACCAGTGTTTGTGGTAAGGCCAAATCTGGTTCTTAAATTTTGATTATGCTAAAGATAAGAAAATGTTCAAAAGTCTTATGTTTTTTTAGTATAGAACCACTTACTACGTATGTGTTAAATATATTATGTATATATTTAGTATTAATTGTGTAATCATTGTATACATGGTAGTTTCCTTGTATAGGATTCCTTCCGTAGTTAGGATTCTCATGTATTATATGTACGAGGCTTAGCCCTCCGTTACATTCAATATAGAAAATAATAATTCTTCATGGTATCAGCACTGGTGGAGGCTGGGCAGATTCCAGCGGCAGGGGCAGTCCTGGGCAGTCACAGCACAACCGGCAACGCGGGGGACAGCAGTGGGGTCGTGGTCGCGGCCGAAGCTCCAGGTCGAATGCACGGCACACCAACGGGCAGATTACCAGACAGTTCACCAACCCAAACCCTAACCCGGGTCTCCTCGGCCCTCGACCGAATCCCCACCCATACCCACATGGCTATTTTTCTACACCCTACCCGCACGCCAGTGCACCTTACCCATACCACAGCCCCTACCCGACAACCCCCCTCTACCCGACATCCTCACCCACAACTCCCTCAGCCGGTGCCAACACCAATATCACACCCACCGCCCTCGCCCATAGTTTTGACACCCTGAGCCTTCGCGATCCAAATTGGTACATGGACACCGCCGCCACACATCATATTGTCTCGGACTCAGGTACTCTTTCTCATGTTCGTAATCCTCCGAAATATTTTTGAATCCTTGGGCATTCTTTTCCGTTTCTCCTGTCCCCACACCAGTCAACAAAATGGACGGGAAGAACGTACAATTCGCACTATAAACAATTCCGTTCGCTCTCTTTTATTCCAAGCCCAACTCCCACCTACCTTCTGGGTTGAAGCTCTATATATGGCCTCTCATCTCTTCAACATCTTACCCACCACGACTCTCCAAAATCGCACCCCACACGAAGCCCTCTATGGTCACAAACCCACATACTCTCACCTCCGTGTCTTTGGATGTCTTTGCTATCCCAACTTATCTACTACAGCACCCCACAAACTCGCCCCTCGTTCCGCCTGCTGTGTCTTTCTCGGGTACCCGTCTAACCAACGGGGATACCGCTGCCTTGATCTTCGTACCCACAAAATTATCATCTCCCGTCATGTGATTTTCGATGAGCACTCCTTCCCCTACTCTCATCCGGTCTCACCCACTGATCTTGCCTTCCTTGACTCCGCGGAGGACGACCCAAACCCTCACTAGGGGTGGGTTCGGTTTTGGCGGTTCGAGTTTCACCCAAAACCAAAGACAAAACGGAAGGGAAATTAGCGGTTCGGTTCGGTTTGGTTTTGCCTAAAAAATATGTAAACCATTGGTTATTCGGTTCGGTTTTGTACGGTTTTTATTTCGGTTTTTTTCGGTTTTTGAATGTAGAAATTTATAAGCATTAAAAAATGTAAAAACACTAACTTGATGAAATAATAACAATATGTAGTGTTAACTTTGGTTTTTTGTTTGATTTTTACACAAACAAAAAACCGAACGGAAGGTTACTGTTCCTTTCGGTTCAATTTTACATAAAAAAATATGTATTGAGTGCCAACAAAGATTTAGAAGATTTTAATTACTTCCAAAGACATCGTATGTAAAATCCATTACGAACAATTTATAACAATATGGCTAGAATGTTTAATTAATAGTTAAGAAAATAATTTTAATCCACTAGTAATTTATTTGTATTTATATTTCTATTATTTTTCTATATATCACATATATTCATATAAATAAAAAAAAGTATCTAAGAAAGTTCGGTTTATTCGGTTCGGTTCGGTTTTGCAAAGTGAAAACCAAAACGGAACCAAACACTTGCGGTTCGGTTCGGTTTTTTTACATTCGGTTTCGGTTTTTTCGGTTTGGTTTTTTTTCTAGCTCGTTTCGATCGATTTCGGTTCGATTTTCGGTTTTCGGTTTTCCCGACCCAACCCTAACCCTCACCATAATACCCTCTCCCC